GAGAGAGAGAGAGAGAGAGAGAGAGAGAGAGAGAGAGAGAGAGGGAGAGAACGGCGATTGGGTTGGAATAATAAAGGCTGGTCTTTCAGCCTCAACTTCGGTCGGCGCGGCGAGTTTGAGACCCCATCAAGTTTGCCTTTGCCCAAAATCTTGAGTCTGTGAGTCTGTGTCGGAGGATTTCCCCCGAAGCACCGGGAAAAATGCGGTCCAATGTTTGGTCAGGAAAAGATGGTTTTTGCATGGCACAAGCTCTCTCTCCTTGGAGTTTTCCTTCGGATTTTTTTTCTCCTTTCGTTCCTACAAATATTGCGTGACTTTTGGCCATGACTCTTGTCGAACCACACACACATATAGTTGAAATCGACGCATATCTGCTTGCTAGCCCATCTCCCTCCCTCCTTGCGCCGTCAAAAGACGACCGACGTACTACCCGTTGACCCTGGAAAACGCGCTTTGCCCTCCCGACTCCCGACCCCCCTGTGTCCCGTTTTGACCAAAGGTTGTGGTGGGCATGGACGTTGCGGATAGGCTGTACAAGGGTTACGGGGAGGGGGCCCCGCAGGGCAACGGGCCAAACCAGGGCAAGATCCAGAGCCAGGGTAACGCCTACCTCAAGGGGTCGTTCCCGAAGCTGAGCTACATCAAGTCCGCGACGTCCGTACCGCGCCCAGCTGAGGGGGACTACTAGATACTGCTGTTAGCTGCTATCGCGTATTGAGCGCGGGGTTTTGAGGTTGTAGTTCGCGAGGAGATATTATGTGTGCCGTGCCTGCGGGGCGGTTGTTGCAGCTCACTCGCCGGACGTGCGTTGTGCTTTTGTTCGAGACACTGCCGCCGCCGCCGCAGAGCGATTTTGTGGTTGGGTTGATGGTGAGCTTTTGAGATCCACCTGTGCCAGCGACGTGTTTCGGGGGTGGGTGTGATCGCCACTACAAAGGGTGAGTGGAAACTTTTTAGGCATGGTTGGTGTAGTGCCTTCCAGGACCAAGAAAAATGCGCGCATCGAAAGGTTGCAAGCCCTTGGGCTGTGGTTGCATGCTGATGTCGTGCACCGCCCTGTCGACACTTGATGCGCATGCCATGGATGAGGACTACAAGGCAAGGAAGGGCGAAAAAGAAGGTGCGGGCTCGGGTCGAACTGGCGCCAAGACCTGGCTTGGCTGCACGCTCACCTCGCGCGCTCCGTGCCATATGTTTGTCGGTGGCAAGCCCCACGCCATGTAGTCATTCGCGTCAGGGACAGTCGGTTAGATGTTGGCGTACACACGGATGTCAGTGCACTCGGCGAAGATTCATTCTTGTTCCATTCTTTGCCCAGCCGAACGAAGCCGTAGAACTCTACTGTGGGCTACTGCTGTGTATCATTGCCCGCGCAACTTCGGTCAGTGTTTGCATGATGGATGGGTGGGTGGTGGAGAGAAATGGTTCCTGGCTACCCAACCTGCCTTACCCCCGGCCTTTTTTGCGAGTGCCATCCGCGCCGTGAACTTACTGGCGGTGTGGCTCTGTGATCGAATGTTCTTGGATTTGGCAGGCTCGGAGTCAGCCAATGGTGAGTCGTTGGCAATGCTCGTTTGGTTCCCGCGGGCGGCCAATGTAGGGGCCTTCGGAAAGATCCCAGCCCTTCGCAGCATCCAGTCGAGTATTAAACCTCGCTTTAGGCAGAAGACTTCAGTACATGTGTAGATGGACAGATATAGCACTAGGCAGGCGGACTGAAAAAATACATCAGTTCGAGTCCCGACTACTTGCACTTGTACTCAAATCAAGACATACGTCAAGACCGACACAATATGCGAGGTATCCCCCCAGCCGTAATCTACTCCCGGTCAGTGGTGAGATAGGCCCGGTGCAACGCTAAAAAAAATTTTTCGCCGAGATACTTTGATACCGGGGGCGGCGCGATGTCACCCCGCTACGCCCGTGATACAGGTAGGTATCCCGCGTGCAGTGGCGATATGCGGCGGAGCCCCCGTCCTCAGCCGAAAGGCCGACTCCAGTCCAGCAACAGCAGTAGTGGGCGATACGGCCTCAATTATGGAAGCACTAGTGGCACTACGACGCACAGCTTGTCTGGGGCTCGCCTATGCTTCGTTGTGGCTGCCTACAAGCATTGAGGTGGAGGCAGAGGCAGCAGTGGGCGGTGCCGCTCGAACCTTGATCGACGGCACCGATTCAAGTATTCACCACCTCGATCTTCTCGTACAGCAACCCTACGATGCGTCCCCAACAACGGCGCAGCCGCCCTGGTTCGACGGGTTCGGCGGGCGGGACGGGGTAGCAGCGGTCACGATCGGCCACCCTATACAGCGGATTCTGCTTCACTTGAGAGCGGAAGGGGTCGGGCTGGAGGAAGGCATGTCTTGGCCCGAGCGAGGAGGTACGCCATGTCTGTACGGAAACGGAATCATTCACGCTCGTTGGCCCGCACACATCCATCTCCACTGATGAACTTCTCGCACAGCTTCAGACAGCTTGCATAACCACCAAACAGACACGATAGAGAAGAGAGCGGATGTGGCAGCAGGTGTGGAGAACGGATGGGCGCACGCTTCTGCCATTTGTCTCCTATTTAGTATATCTAGCTACACCATCAGCATACCGCGGTGCGGACACATTTTTCGCAAGGCCTAGTCTACAGAACTCGCGTTGGATGGGGGCAAGAGAGAAACAAGTTTCGAGAGCGAGCGAGCCAAGTTTTATTGGGAAGATCTGGTTGCTGGTGTTTCCGATGGCGGTGAATGTCAATGGCCACCGACCATGTACCGGTTGTTGCAGGCTGGGCCATCGGAAGCCTGCTAGCTGCTGTTTGATGATTTATTTTTGAATATTATATTTGGTCTCGTCAAGCTGGCTCTAATCCGATGAGGTCGAGAGGGGCTGTCGACTACACTGCGGCGAAAATGGCAGGTCAATTGATTTCGTGCCATCATCATCACAACCATTCCACCAACAGGGGTAATCGGGAGGGTGCGGTGAATATTGGTTTTAATCACCGCTGCTGGTCATGCATTTCAAGCACCATCATTGGCTTGCCACGAGTGACTGCCTGCCTCCCTTCGTCCGTACCAGGTATCTTGGCCGTCGGGTTTCCCACTCTGCGCTCATGTACACCGCGCGTACACACACTCACACAACTAGGGAAAACCAAAGCGGGTATTCACTCGTTGGAGAAGCTGGCCAGCCCCTCGTTGAAAATATCGCAGAGGAACCCACGAAATTGGGCGAGGCAGCAGCAATTGGTCAACCAACTCCTGGAACGAATCACGATGATGATGCCACCACCCCTCACCTCCACCAACACCGCACTACTCGATCCCTCCTGTGCACATCAACGCCGACAGCACCAACTATTACCCGCACCCCCATACCACCATCACCATCATCGATGTCGAAGCGCCAAAGGCAGCACCTAAGAAGATTTAATACCGGAGGCATGTAAGACTACAACTTGCAGACAGACGTGTATCGGGACATGTTTTTTTAGGACATCCCTCGGCAAGTCACGGTGTGCGCTGCACGAGCGACGACAAAGGCCAACCCAACTGGGGTGTCAATGGAAACAAAAATACGGTGGGAGGGGAACGTATATGAATAGTCGTGTTGTTTTGTCGAGGAAGAGAAAATGAAGCGTTCGATAATTTTCTGACGGCACTTTGTTCTCCTCGAGCGGACTACAGACAAACGAAGCGCACGCGTTGCACGCTCAACACCTGCTCCTGCTGCTGCTGTTGTCCGGCCATGGTGTCGGTATTTTTTTTTCTACTGGCGCTGGCTACTAAGCAATCAAAGCGCGCGTGAATACTCAACTGTCGCCACTGCTTCTGCCTGGCCTTTGCGTCGTCATGGGCGGGCGGGGGGGGGGGATGCAGGCAAGCGCGCCGACGCTAGCTCCTCCTACCGGCAGGGCTACCAGCAGCTGGACAACTACCTCGTGCGCGTCCTGGCGGGAAAGTCGGCGTGGGACCTTCCCCCCGGCCGCGTGGGGAAGACCGAGCTGCAGGTGGGTAAGCGAAGGCCAGTACGTAGAGTTCGCAGGGTTTTTCGTTCAAGTAAACATGTTGGATAAAGTGTGCAATTAGGTTAGGGTGCAGGTCTGCGTGCCCCCTCCCTGTTCTATTCCCTCGTAGACTTAGTTTCGCGCGAAGACGGTCCGCTAAGGCGGCTCTCTCTCGCTCGCTCGCTCTCGCTCTCTCTCTCTCCCTTTCTTTCTCTCTTTCCTCTCTCTCTCACTCTCTCTCTCTCTCTCTCTCTCTCTTTCTCTCTCTCTCTCTCTCTCTGTCTCTCTTTCTCTCTCTCTGTCTCTCTATCCCTCTCTCTGTCTCTCTATCTCCCTCTCACCCTCTTTCTCTCCCTCTCGACCACGGCGTCACTATTGTACAGGCCACTTGTGCCGCACGCTGCTACTTCTACTACCACTAAGAGACATGGCGACCACGAAGTCTGTTGTACAGGCCACTTGCGTTGTCTGTTGTTCAATTCACTTGGTCTACTTGAGCCGCCGCTAGTTACTTCTACTTGTCACCAAACACATAGCGTTGTGCCGCGTAGATTCCGACGGCTTTCGTCAGCGTCAGTTGCGTGTTGTGGGAGCGACTTTGCCAGCTTCGCGTACCGAGGGTTTTCGTTGACTGGCTTTAGTCCCGCTGCTGGCGACGGTACGAGCATCCGTGTGATAGACAACACCCCTCCGCCCTCCTTCTTGGACCATCCGACACACCCATCACCGTCATTATTCGTGCATTCTATCACAAATGTCTCGATGCCCTGCTTCCTCCCCTTATATTGTCTACCGTTCTGGACGGATATCCGTGCGGCGCCGCCGTCCGTCAGCGCCATTGCCTGCTAGCTATATCTCCCAGTTGCGCTGCGAAGCAGCCCACTCCCACTGTATGTAAAACCACCAAATTGATCCTGGTCGTGACTTGCAATGCTGCGGCAGGCATTCCGGTAAGGATCCTTATTTTGGCGCCTGGCTGCTAAACGCCGAACCTGTTGTTCTGTTCTCACACATCCGTTCGCTGCTGCTGCTGCTGCTGCTGTTGATCCCTGCAGGCCGCTCGGATCGCGCTCGGAAAGTTCGAGGTGCTGTTGAGGGCGGACTGCCTAGCCGTGGACCTGCCCCTCCTGCAGCCCTATCTGGCGAAGGCTGTTCCTGCAGCCCAAGTCGCGGATGCCGCTAGGTGCAGCAATTTGTGGAGGCTGTTGTTGTTGTTGCGTCTGTTTTTGTTGTCACTGCTTCTGCTGCTTCTGCTGCTTCTGCTGCTGCTTCTGCTGCAGCAGCGGCTGCTACTGCTGCTGTGGTTGTTGCTAGCGATGGTGGATGCTATTGCTGTTGCGGTCGCTACCTTGTGATTTTCGCCTTTTAATCTCACGTGCGCTTGCCCGCTCCACCCCCAGCTATTGCCTAGACCCCCCCCCCCACACGCTCTACCGTCTGCGGAACCCCTCTCACGACGAGCTCGCGCCCCGGTCCCTTTCCCGTCTTCAATTTTTGCAGAGAGACGGAGGATCTGCTAGAATCCGGAGAAGCATACTACTTGGTCTTTGGGAAAGAGGGGGGCAAGCTGTTGCGCGACAACCGTTGGGACCTTCAGGTGGGCACCTACCGTACGTGACACAAGATACCACACCCCCTAGACCGATGTGCAACTCTAGATTACGCCACAGCAGAAAAGAGTGGCGGTAACGAAAATGGCGTTGAAACCGTCGTGGAGATCTTTTCCGAAACGTACCTGTTGGTTTTGGCACCCTCTTCATCGTGGAGTAGTCGAGCTTTGGAAAATCGGTCCAGGTGGTGAGCTATTATACGTCATGTCACCAACGGTATGCACAGCGGCATGAGCGGGCAGGAGCACGCGCACACGTTCCTCGAACTTGAAGGCCCCTCCCTGACTGGGGGGTGGACTTGCCCTCTTGTTCTTTCCTGCTGCCGCAGCAGCCGGCGTGTCATGTTTTTCGCCGGGAATTTGGTTGCACGCGCCGTTGATGGCTTGCAGAGAAACCATGCAGATATTTACTGCTGTAGGCTATCAGAGACTGCAGACTCCGGAGTGTCTCCCACGGCCGATACCTCTACCCTGTACTTGTTACCAGTGGTTTATCGTGTCGCAAACTCTCCAACTCTACCTTGGGAGCGCCGCCGGTTCGCGACCGCAGCCCGGGGGGGGAGTCGGTACGAAGTTACCGGTTGGCGTTTATCTCATGGGGATGGCAAGCGCGTGTAGTAACCGCTCTACCTCCCCTCTCCGTCCCATTACCATGACATTGTTCGTTGCACCCACGGAACGCGCTCTCGTCTGTGCATCATCGCGCGCTTCGTGCTGCTCGTGTGTGGTAACGTGTGCGGCCTTGGCTTGTCCCTGTTTTGGCTATGGTCTCCCCACAGCTCTGGGATTTCGCGCATAAGCTGGTGGAGTCTAGGAGCACGACAGCCGAGGGCTACCTGTGCGGGTCTTCCACCTCCGCTAGGCGTCAAGTGAGAGCAGAAGCACGGCGCGGAAGAGGAGTACATGCACACCGCCGAAATTCGTGCATTACGAAATATTGGCGTTTTCTGTGTCCCACCGCAGACAGGTGGTTTTGGCAGGCTTCAGAGGCATGACGTCATGATGGCTGCCGGTGCGTCATGCTGCCCACTTGTGTGTGTGTGTGTGTGTGTGTGTGTGTGTGTGTGTGTGTGTGTGTGTGTTTTGTTCGTCGCTGCTGCAAATGTGTGGTCGTGACGCTGTTTGCCACCATACACACTGCTGCTGCCATTTATTTTCTAAGCTCGCGTTTTTTGTGCTTATCTTTGTTCTCTCTCCGTGGAAATGTGTGTGATGGGTCGTCGCGGTGGAACGATGGGTCGGGCCGATGGGTCAATGGGATCTGACCGACGCGTGGCCGGTGGTCCGCAGAGGATGCCCGGCGACGGTAGGCGCGCCGTGGTGTACAACTCCCCGTCCTTCCACGTCACCGGGGTGGCCATGTTCTCGTGCGTGCTCATGTCGCTTGGCTTCGACGTCACAGCGGTCGTCAAGGTGGGTATGTATCACGTTATCGTTGCCGGGTATCTTGTTTTGCTCTTCAAGATTGTCACCGTGGATTCTATGTTACCGGTCTCGTGTTAGATTTTGCTCTTGATGCGTCTCTTTATCTCGGAGATTTGGCTCATGGTGCTATTCGGATATAGCTCGGTCTTAACCTCACGGCTGGTTGATCCAGGAGGCAGATGCCATGCCCTCATGCCAGACCTAGCCCCGAACCTGTTTCCATTCCCAGCTCTCTGCTTGTTGACGCTGTTCGTCTCTCTGCCCCTTTTTTTGGGGGAGACGTCGTCGAGTTGAATGTTCGTCTACGCTCTCTGCCAGAAAGCGCTTCCCCCTGTACCACACAAGGCCACTGACACCCACATAACAGCTATTAATATCACACCCCCCACAACACACCGCACATGGTGACAGTACCCTCGCGGCTCAACATGAACCCACAACACAAAATTAGTCTCAGATTAAGACGTAGGGTTACGCAGAAGATACCAAACCCCCTTACGCACAACACGATATCGGGCGACAGCAGTTCATCTTCAATCGCCAAAACATTATCATCACCGAGTTTTTTTTTTGTTTTTTTGTTTGTCTCCCATCATTGGACTCTGTAGTCTGCTCCTCTGGCCCCTATCCTCCACTTCTACTAGCTAGACGACCCAACCGGGGTCACATAGGAGGGGGGGGTTGGACCCCCTCCTGCGGTTCATGCCTGAGGTATTTTTATCGCGAGAAGGGTACAGCAATCCCTTCCCTCGCGACTTACGAAGTCGATTATGGTTTACTAACAAACGAGCTTTGCAGCGCGTCGCTTTCATCCTAGACCAGGATTTATTTAGTGAGAAAAATACTCTCTCTACCGGGACTCGAACCCATGACCTGGCCCTTAGCAGGCTGCGAGGCTACCCACTAGACCACCGGGGCGACCGGTTGTGTTTGTATGTTGTGTGCTACACAGCAGTACAGTCGAGGGACCCTTTTAGTGCCGGTACGTGCACAGAGCGTTCACCGGCACTAAATCGGGCACCCGGCACT